TGGGGAGGCACGAAGTGTTGGAAAAAAATAAAAATAAAAATAAAAATTGAAGTTGCAGGTGATGAATATGGTAGACCAGCTATGACTGTGAAGATTGTCAATTCTAGTGAATTACACAATGTCGAAAAGAAAACTTAACTCAAAATGTAATTAAATCCACTTTGATACCATGTCAAGTAAACTGTAAATTGTATATAATAAAGTCTTGTGAATATTACAAAGGAGAAGACCTATTTATAGGGTTACAAATAAACCTAAAAGGAAATAACTCAAAAGGAAAGATTGTGTGATAATTACACAATCAATTATTAAGGAAAATAATCCTACACTATTGGAAAACTATCATAGAGAAGTATTGGTCCTATATATTATTATACTCTACTGACATATTCAACTCTGACTCATTTAATGATAGATTAGCAACATCAAGCAGTCTAACACCTTCAAGAGTATGAAAAGAGTTTTCAACAATATCCTATATTTTGGATTTTCCTTTTGAATAGAGATTTAATTTTTCTATATAAAACGCAAATTGCTATGAATGAAAACCAATTTTTCATCTCGTTGTAGAGTTATTTTATTCCTTCACGTAGAGTGTACAAAAGAGTTTAGCACTAGATGAAGAAGAAGATTACACAAGAAGTTTTAAAGTAGTATTTTGCATTGAAGGTGCATGTTAATCATAAAGTATTGGATACGTATCAAAAATCATGCAAAAATATAAAATAATTAAAAAATACGTATGGGATACGTAAAAAATATAAAAATATATAAAATAATAAAAAAAAGTATCCAGTACGTATCGAAGGGTATTATATCGGCGTATCAGATATGGGTATGTAACAAGTTTACATGTATCGGTGCTTCTTAGGATAAACCTTGAAATTAGGCTCCAATAGGCTCATATTTTGTATTGTATAATGCTTAAATTTAATAAATTGCAAGTTTCACTGCACCATCACTTAAATTATTTAGGTTGTATTTGAATACTTTATAGCTATTTATATTTGAAAATGTATATGTTAACCAAAAAATAGGGAAAAACAATAAATGATTTGTTGCAAAAAGTAAAATAAAGAGTTTGTTGGAGCGTGTAAAATGTTTAATTTTTAAATTTAAAGATGTGCTCTATTATGTACAAGATGTTCTTCAAAAATAGAGTCTTTTGGGGATGTTCTCAATAATGACATCTTTCGCTCCACGCCCCTCCCAAAAACTCATGCAGAAGAACAAAATAACTAATTAAAGAAGAAACACTCAGAACATCAAACCTTCCTTTGGTATGATATGCTTTTGTTGCTAGCGGTGGTGTTAAATGCTGGGTTATTACTTGGATTTGGTGTGGGTATTTTATTGCCTCACCCTTTATTTTTGGGTGTGGGTAACTTTCCAATATTTTGCCATGTTTGCGATCTAGCTTTTTACTTACTCTTCTGGCATAATGAAGTTTTCTGGGACATAACAGGCATGCATTCTATCAAAAGCCGGAGGAGGTGGTTGTGACTATTTTTGCCAAGGGTGTACCTGCTAACAACGTGACCATCGACTTTGGGGAGCAGATAGTGAGTCAATCATGCCTTTGCTTTTCTCAAGTTTTGCGTGTTCTATCATACAGCATTTTTTTCTTATTTAATTTAGTGCCTGTTTGATTGGTTTATAAGTTATTGATAAGAAGATACTAGTTGTTGGTCCGACAAAATATGTGGTTAAAATTTAAATTATAATGTGATTATAACCCTCGAAAAACTAATCTCATGTTTATTGGAGATCTATGGATTTTTTAATCTCAAAATATGAAATGTAAGCTAAATCGGTGTGTTCTCTTAACAGCTAAGTGTTACCATTGATGTACCCAGCGAAGATGTTTACCACTTTCAGCCACGACTATTTGGAAAGGTACTGACGCAAAAATTTGCAGAGCTATACAATACTGTTTAATTCTCACAAACTTTCTTGTTGTCTGCAAGACAGATTGTACCTGATAAATGCAGATATGAAGTGTTATCGACAAAAATTGAAATACGCCTTGCAAAAGCAGAACCAATTAACTGGACAACTCTTGAGTACACCACAGCAGCAGTTGTTCCACCAAAGATAACTTCAACCACTGGTGAATCGTATTGCCATTTATCTGTTTAAATTTTCACTAAAGTTAATTAAACTGTATGGTTCATTGAGAACATCATGTTTTGCAACTTCTCAGCATTGATGTAAGCGTATGTGGTTAAGCCTTAAAAAAGCAGCCAAAAAGTTACTTTTAAGAACATCTGTTAAGCTTTGTTTATTGCTTTTTAAGGTAAAAATGTTACCTTTACTCAGCAATGTTACGGAGTGTCAAACCAAAAGAGTGCAGATATATCTTTTAAATACATATATGTTAATTAGTGTCTCATTTTTCTTCTATAAACGTTGTTTCAGAATCTTATAGGCCAACATATCCATCTTCAAAGCCCAAAAGAGTAGATTGGGACAAATTGGAGGCCCAGGTGAAGAAAGAGGTCTTTCAATGAACCCATCTTCAATTGAGAATTATATTTAAAAAAAAATCGACTATTTTGCTTTAGATTTACAATATATGTCTGCACTGTCTTGGTTTGACACTCCAGTTACTTGATGTATTCTTTAAATTCCAGGAAAAAGAAGAGAAACTGGATGGAGATGCAGCATTGAACAAATTTTTTGGGGACATATACAAAAATGCTGATGAAGACATGAGAAGAGCCATGAATAAATCTTTTGTAAGATTCTTTCTTAAATCTACTTTTCCTTCCCCTAATTTATGACAAAAAAGTCACAAGGCACCCGAAGATTTTGGCAATTAATCTCTAATGATTTATTTCATGGTTTTGTTACATTTCTAGGAACTGAACATAATTCTGGGAACTAATAAAATAAAAAAATACAGCTGGAAGATTTAGATTTATCAGCAAACTAGGAACTAATTAAACTAATTACTGGATATGTGGGATTCAAATTTTAATCTTTTTTTGACTAAATTGATCTGGATCTGACAACTCTCCCTCTCAAGCTGGAATGTGAATATTCTTCTTCCTAGCTTGTCTAGAATTCGGGGTAGAGAAGTACTCAGTAGCTCTTCTGTGAGTATACTGCAACTGCAAGGCATACATAGAAGTCTTATCTTACTACTTTTCTTTGATGAAGTGATAGTCAATTTCCACATGCTTTGTACAATCATGATGTACTTGATCATGTGCTATGTTATTAGCTGATTAACACCTAATGCCATAGCCCGAAACTCCGCTTTTCCAAAACAAGCCCTAAATCATCCAAAATTATCTATATCCAAGAAGCTCACTAACACCTAATGCCATAGCCCGAAACTCCTCTTTTGCACTTGATCTTGTCACTACTGCATTTTTTACTCCAAGATTCAAGGTTTCCACCCTGTAATGTGCAGTACACTGATGTTGATCTACGATCCACAACTGATCTGATCAATCTGCATCATTGTGATTCAAGATTAAGCGATGTCGTCTTGTATAATATTCCCTTTACAGATTTGCCTTTCAAGTACATCAATATTTTGTTGACGACTTCTAGATGTTGTTACCTTGGTGAGTGCATAATTTGAGTTACTAAACTCACTGCATAAGTTATATCAGGATGGGTGTGGCAAATAAATCAATCTTCTAACTAATTATTGATATCTTCTCCCCCTATCCACCATTGTATCTTCTAACTCCTTTCGTAATTTATGAGATTGTTCATTAGGAGTTTCAGATGGCCCACATCCCAGCATCTTTATTTCTTGCTATAAATATGTCTTCTTTAGAATGTGCTACTTCTATCCGCAAAAAAAATATCAGTCTTCCCAATTCTTTAATCTAAAAATTATCTGTTCATCTCTTCTCGAGTTTCCCAATCTCCTGGAGATTATATTGTGCTACTCAGATATCATCGTGTATAATTAAAATTGTGATTTTATGGTAACTAGATCTTTGTATAAAGAGTGTGTGATCTCCTTGGAATTGTTTGAATTGCATCTTCTTCATTGCATGAGTAAATCTACCAAACCATGCTTGTGGAGATTGTTTCTCATATAAAGTATTCTTTAATCATGGTTGTGCATCCATGTAAACTTCCTCTTCCAACTCTCCTTGTAAAAAGGCATTTTTTTACGTCAAATTGTAGCCAGTGGCCGTTGAAAGTTTGCGGCTAATGATAGAAGAATGATGACTATGCTAATCTCAGCTATAGGAGCAAATGTTTCTTGATAATCCACTCCATATGTTTGAGTATATCCTTCAGTTACAAGCCTTGCTTGCTTTAATTTATTGTATATTCCGGTTTACGGTCGATGGTTTTCTTCCCTTTTGGCAATTTCATAATCTCCCAATTTCCATTCCTTTCAAGGTCTTCCATTTCTTCCTCCATTGCCTTTTTCCACTCTTCTTGCTGCAGTGTTTCCTCTACATTATTTGGTGTCTTATCCAAATGTACCTTGGTGAGAAATGAATTATAGGAAAGATGACACTCCTC